GGAGTATCGTTTTTCCAAGAAATATCCATGTTCAGCCTCGCAATAACAATGAACGTGGTATTGAGGTCTCTGAGATCTGAGTCGCCATCATAGTCTTTTTCCATAGTCTAGATCTGTGTATGTGTATATCTTAAATTAAGTTCGTTTAGAAAGTTTGGTACACCTCAGAAGAGCTGAATAACCTTCAGAGGCTGAGGCTCGGATAGCTTCGTATTTAATCCAAGGTATGATAAAGAACAGTTGGAGTAATCATGATGAGAAGTATACTTTTTGTCGAAAATGAGTACTAGATATAGTTAAGGTTAGAAGGTCTAAAAATCCAAAACTATATCCAAGAAATGAGTCATGAGAGTAAGGGAACTTCTTGAGGTATCTCAGTAGGAAAGCTATATTTTCTTTTCCTTTTTTCATACTAACAATAGCTCTCCAATGATCACCCATTAGAGCTGGTTAGGTTTTAATCACCATGAGAGAAAATCTTTCTGAGATGTTTCCTCGAATCACGCTCTTGACAAGCTCTTTAAAACATGTTTTTTTTTTTCATTCATTCAAATTGTTTCACTTTAATTTCTCACCCAAATACTGAGTTCAATCGTAGCAAACTCTTATTTGGCACGGAAGTTCATTGGCAAAAAAACTCTATCTTTTTTTCTTAAATCTATTTGTCAATAAAAGCAAAACTTTGTTAATTAATGTATTCAATATTTTATTTAATTTGTCTCTTATTCATCCATTTACTTATCTATCTATCGTAGTGACTCGTTTTAAGAAACCACGAGGCACTTTGATTATATCTCAATTTCTAGAGGAGAATGTGAACTTTGCATAAACGGTTCTAAGCTTTTTCGACCTACTCCCTTTCCGACAAAAACGAACTTAAAAGAACACCCCCGCGTATCTATATGGAGATTAATTTTTAAATTACACGTAATTATATTCAGGAATCAATTGTTGGATTGTTTTAAATTTCTACTAATTTTGAACTGCAACAACGTGATTTTGATTCCTTAGCACTACACAAAGTAAATATGCGCCGCAGCAACGAAGAGAACAAACAGTTGTGCCTGTTATGTAGCATGCTAGTAAAAGCACCATAGTTTCGCACTGTGATGTATCTTGACCAATAGCAGCAGCTATGATTCCAATGACAATAGACCTTTTTCCTGACCTGACCATCAGCCACTGAGGGATGTCCATCAGTCACCCATTCAGATGCATGCATGAGTATTGCACCTGCGCTTAGGTGGACATGATGAGGTTATTCTTGTACCTGCAGCACCTTCAAAACGAAACCAGCCAGGGAGTACACTGTCAGAATACGTTTTAGTGTTTCTTTGGGATACATTCTTGTCTCCCCCATTCAGACTTTGGTCATTTTAACATTCTAAGGAACAAAAGAAACGTAGAAATTAAAAACGCAAAGTTCAGTGAGTGATTGAAACGCCTTCATTATTTACAGGTTATGGAAATGAAGGATACAGTTGTAGTCAACTTAAGGACATGAATATTCAGGATCATTTTAGTGCTCATTAACAAGCCTTTTTTTTATTTCACTACTTAAGAAAATCACGCCCTCTTGTTCATTATGACAACAAAAACAGTCTAAAACTAAATCTTGACATTTGGCATTCAAAGGGAAAAGGAAGAGAACTCTGACAATAATTAGCAAACTGCAATTCTCCTTAAACTATTCTAGGGAATACATTATCAAAATGGAATTGGGTCAAGACAGGAATGTTTGCCACCCATTTTTCACCTCTTTCTATTTTTACAATAGCTGTATCCTTTGTAGTCCATACCACAAAATAACAAAACCTCCTACGTGAGAAGTACATTTCTCCCTGGAGCTGATGCCGATAAACATGGTCTTTTTTCAAGGCGTAGCCCTGTACACTTCTACACTTTTCAAGGCAAAATGTTCTGACTCCACTGCCTCTGCTATTGTTAGGTTCTTTTCCGTGTACGGACACTTCACCTCAAGAACAGTTTCTTTATCAATAATACCACCTGCAGATGCACCAAGATTTCCAGATGAATGAAACCAGATTCCAGTTTCTTTCACTGCTAACCCTGTTTTTAGGATGAATGCTTTGACGGCTTCCTCCTCATTATTTACTCCCCATTTCACTACCTTTACCCTTGATAGGTCGTACTCCCCGAGAAGACGTTTAATAAGTGAAGGAGTGATCCTCTTTGCCTTTAGGACAGAGCCGAAGTTACTGGCTGTAAGGCGGCCCCTTCTCGCCAGCAACCAAGCAGGGTTGTCTCGCTGGCCAGCGGTTAATTCGTTAACCCTTAAAAAATGTCCGTTTCTTTTTATCTAGAAAGGTGAGTCAAACAGTCCAGTTGCTGTTGCCGCCCAGTGGCTTGAAGAAACTCGCCAGAGAAAATAATTTCTTCTATGGTTGGAAAAGGAAGATGGTTAGCAACAGGTGGCTCAGGGCTGATTAGCCAGAAGAGCCCTGTAAACCGCCCATATTCCTTCAGGTCTTCGTACAAGGCGGAACGGTCAGCTTGTGTCGGCTTTCTCGACAGAGAAGAATACTTTTTAGGTGGGGGGAACATTTCTGTGACCGGTTGAGTTCAAAGCGATGTATTGCACTTTCGTTTCCGCCACTGGCCTTCGACGTCTGTTCGGCTCGGGTTGTGAATACCGTAAATAAGGAGAGCTGCTGCGTGACTGCATTTAAACCCGCCTCTTGGACATTCACACTCAGTTGATTTTATTTCATGTTCTTCATCCAAATAAATCCGCAAGATGTCAAGATTAATAACATTTAGTTCGGCAATTAGAAACGGTTTTTTCAGCAAAATGCAGCAACGTCTTCCTTGTAAAAGATCGATCATGCAAAGAATAACAACTCACCGTCACTTTATAAACAATTTGTTTCATGCTTGCGTGTACTTCTCCTCGTAAAACACCCTGCTGGTAAGTAAATGCTTCAATCTGATCTGACTTAAAGTGGTTTTCCCCCTTTTTTATAGATTCTTTTATTCTAAGAAGAAAGAAAGAAGCGAGGCGACGGATAATGTCGCCATTTTGAATCAAATGCGGGTTTTGTTTGGAACTGAGATTTTTAGCACCATGGAAACGAGACGTCACCGCTTAAGGACTCTATTCCTCATTCATCGTTTAAGTTTATGACTGAGGACTCAGATGTTGGATGGCGTTAACAAAAGAAGTAACAGCGATAACTATTGCATCCGAAAGTCCGTCTTTTTTTCTCATTTAATCGTTTTCGTCTTTCTCCTTGGCTTAATAATTGTCATTTTCTCGGCATTACGAATTTTTTTTTCCACTTTCCAGTTCCAATACGGTAAAATCTAAAACCTTATGTGAATGTTTTTTCTTTCTGTTTTTTTTTTTTCTAACATCCTTCGGCTGTTATTTCGCTTCCTGTCAATAAATTATTGTGACAAACCTCATCCGCTATCAGCTTAGCTAATTGCAAATCTCTCCTGTAGGTCTGTATTTGTAAAACGCTAATTCAATAGTGTTAGAAAGAGTTAAGATCTGTATTTGTTTAAATTTTCGAAGTAAAAATATCCTTTTTCAAAGTATAAGTTATGAGCACTTACAAAAAGAATGAAAATATATTGTATCCAGAGGCAGATATTATAAAATATTCATTCCAAAATTTGCACTTTTAACAATTAAAACGTGGTCAGTCTCATGCTAGTTATTTATGCAAATTCGGCTGTGTTTTTATGTAGGAAATCAACTGGGATGAAAACTCATCAGTTTGTTTTAATCTCCATTATAATATATCTGCCGTGGCAATGTCATCGACGCGAAGACACCAGCAATTAAAAAAGTAGTGTGCCTAAAAACAATAGTGTGACTATATGAATGGTCATCCATCATTTCATGTTAAGAAAAAAAAAAAAAGAGTAAATTTGAAAACCGTTATGTCGGTGTTAACAAGGAGTTAAGGGGAAAATGTGTCTGGAGTGTGAAAAAATGGCGGCTCTACCATAATGAAGCGATTAAAACGTCCGCTTTAAGCAATTTTTAACTCAACTGCCACGTGCTGATGCCCGATGGTTTCCATGACATTTTTGTAGTAAAGAAATACGTTTTCATCTCATGTCTTTCTATTGTCTCAATTCATAAAGTAAATACGGACTCAGCTATTCCATGTTTTTCCATAAACCTAAAGGAATAATGTGCTAAAAAACTCACGCCGAACTTGGTCACGCAGGATGCCTTGTTTTCTTAGGATATAGACTGGGCCTAACGTTTCCCTGGAACCACTAGACAAAGACCAATACCTTAATCACATCGAAACGTTTTACGAAGCGTGAAAGGCATAGAAAGGACGAACTCATACTTAAAAGTTTGAAGGGATCTCATTCAAAATGTTCTGGAAGATGTTCTTCCTGGCACTTATGATTGGTGAGCACAAAAAAAACAAAATCAACGATAACCTCTTTGTTAACTTTTAGAAAAATCCTTTTAATAAGCAAGGAGACATGATGTACCACGCATTTTATTTCTATATCTCATTCGATTTTGGACGAAGATCTTCATTGCCTCTTTATCTTATTCAACTTTTTTTCAATTTAATTATCATGGAAGAATGGTGTGGATGTTTTTGAAAATGTAGGACTTAATAGTACAGTTACAATCACATCTGTTTTAGTATGCTTTAGCCATGAATATACATACAGACATGGAGGTTGGTTTACGTATCAAAGTATAGTTGTGTGATAATTGCCGCTGAAAATATTCGTTCTGAAGCTAGGAATACTAAAAGATAACGTTAACGATACTTGGAGAAGGCTGTCGCAATTGACATATGTTTTGAGGAAATATATTATACTTTTCTTTCTTTGCTATTTTTAATAACTGTCGCACCGTCCTAATTGAGCAAGTGACTGACATGAACGATGGAAATCGTTACAGTCACCAAAACAAGTATTTTACTCTCTAGTAACGATCTGGCTGGATATTTACTCTGAAAAATAGAAAAAAAATTGGCCTAATTATCATTGAAAGTTGGTTAAAGTAAAGTATTTTCTTTGAAATTTAAGTTTTTAGTCGATTTTTTTTTTCAGGTCATAGTAACCAGTGCAGCAGAGACTACACAGAAATAAAACTTTCTCGGATACAAGACACGTGTCAGCAAATTGTTTACGAAACTAAAGAGCGTTTGTTAACAATCAAATGCCATTGGTTTTTTCAGAGATTTTGTGATATGTCGTGCAGAGACTTCGCTTACTGTCTCAAGCAATCCTATGGATGGCAGTAAGAATGCGTTCTTCAAGGTGGAGGCTGTAGAAAATGGCACGTCCTGTAAGATACCGTCATCAAATGGCATCATGCAAGGAAATGGTATGTAAAAAGTCCACTTTGTTTCCAATTTGAAATCATTTTTAAATTATTATTTTATCTTTTGTCTATTCATAAACTCATGCGTTGACCCGATCACTTGATCGCTGATTCGTTCTTTCGATTTCAATTGCTCATTCGTATATTTCGTTTCTCCTTGCTCCTCATATAACTCATTATTTCCATTGTTCTTTCATTTACTCAAACTTTTAAAGCTTATTTTTAGAGTAAAATAAGTGTTACTTGTGTGTCCTTTCAACACAGATGAGCAGCAAAATGGGAAGGGCTTATGTAAAGAGGTATTATGTTTATATTATTGTAAATACATTACTTTTAAATAGAGGCTTCGAAGTTAGTCCTCGCCTCTCATTTTTAATCATGAATATTCTTTGGACAAAGCCTTTTGAATCCTCACAATCTAGAGTATGTTGCCTTGTTAATAACGTTCGATAAGGTTTTTGATGGCTCAATGACATGCTGACCGTAACAGATATGATAATTGATAAAAGAACTATTAGCAGATCAATGTAGTTCATCACTGCTTTTTGAAAACTAAACGATGTTACCGTTTCTTTAGGATTTTCTCAATTCTTTGAGGTCCATTACTGACCATTCTTCAAGCGAGATACGCAGCAGAAGTGAGCATAAGAAGAAAAAGATCGAAGAAGTGTTTTTTGAATTGACAACTTTAGAGACATCCGCGTCAGAAAAGGCGCACCTTAGCCTCAATCATACAAGAAGAGCATTTAATATGAGCAGAAAACACGTAGGTAAGGCATTTTTCTAACTATGAATAATGTGTCTAACAGCCTTGCAGTAACACTGAAGGGCGACGTATATGTAATGCGATATTTTAGTTCTTACTGTTCTATATATTACGATTATAACGTGACTATTTCGTATTCCTTGAGAAGCTTTGGCTAAGCTTTTTCACTCATTAATAATACGTACATTTTTTTGAGGTAATCTTTTATTATTATTAGAAGTAGTAGTTATATTTTAATCATTATTATCGTTAACATTGATATTATTATCATGCTTTAAACATTTTCCCTAGATGTTCTGGTCAGAAAAAAAACTTCTATCAAAATGAAAGTCACTACTTTTATCTGGAGGAACTTATAGGAGTAAATTCCCTAAGCATTCCATCGAGGAACTTGGACAATGGTTTGAAAATTTGTGTTCTGATATGGGTTTTCTAATTAATTAATTTAAGTGTTCCGTAAGAAATTTTTAAGCTGATAAAACACGATTTTCCCAGAACTCATTAAATTGTTGTATTTTCATCTTTTTCCCAGGTTCAGTGGTAGTTGAACTGATTAACAGAGATATCTATCAGTTTTTTTATCACTAACCATACAGAGAACAGTACCCCAGACGATTCCAGGTCTCCCAGTGATTTAAATTATACATAAATGTTCCATCTTTTTATGCATGAAGGTTAATTTAGATCTATAAAACTAAAAATTGAAGAGGTTTTTTTAGTTAAATCAAGAGAGTGCCGGTATATCAGAGGTAGGTTTCACCATAACGTCTACGGCTGCTTTGTACAAAATAGGACATACTCGAATATCCAAGCAAATGCATATTACAATATTATATCCGATGGTGAAGAAGCTAAAAACTTGACGAATCCGATGTATTCAGACTTTTTAATATTTTCTAAAATAATTGTTGTTATCGTTCTTGAGTTGTTTTGTTTCTTTTTTTTCGTTAAAGAAGGACGAAAAGGCCTTGAAAATTCTCACATACATCGGGCTGACTCTCTCTGTTATTGGGATCTCATTTACCATCATCAGCTATGTTACTCTCACGTGAGCTCAGTGGTTAGACATAATACAGTATTAGTCAAAATAGTGGAGACATGATCGAATACGGTTTCCAAGTATACTGGGTTCTGTCAAAGTGCAGTTACCGGTGATACCCGTGCAATACTAACCGCGTTACTCCTTGTTCGCTTCTTTCTTTGAGTTCTTTGGTGAAGAAAAGATCCGGCATCATTTTTGTACTACTCTACAGAAAAATTGCGGAAAAAAAAAAACAAAATGTATCATTAACGGGATACTTTAATTTTTACATATAAAAGATAAAAAAGGGAGTAAAACTTGCAAAATAAATGGA